GTTCTCAGAATGGTGTTTTTAAATGCATAAAAATACATAAAATTACAAAAGAAACAAATTATAGTGAAATATAGTTATAAAAAAATTTTTTTTGGGGGGTGAGGAACATTCACAGATCTCAGGTCAAGAATTCCTGATCTAGACTAATACTTCTTTTTTTTCCTCTTTGCCTCTTCAATTGGAGGCAAATCATAAGAGTGCTAGGACTAAAAAAAAAAATCAGAAAGGAAATCAATCCAAGAAAGTAACCAAGTCTTAGCTTCATGCTATTGCAAAGCGCAAGTGGGTAAATAGCCAACACACTGCATAATGTTCTGAATGAAGTTAAGTACCAGAGATCTCTAGAGAATCATGTGTGACCTATAGCTGGAATAAAGAAGGACCAGAGAAGCAATAATAATCATAGGCGAAGACCAACCATGAGAGGTATTTGTTTGAGGGAGCCAGGTCTTAAAAGAGGCAAAAGTATAAATAAATACTTTATTATTTGTGCTAACAAAGCTCTTATGTCAGCATGGCATAATGGATAGTGGATTAGACTCATGGTTAGGAAGACTTCTGTTCAAATTCTAGTGCTCACATATACTAGCTAACCTCTCAGTGCCCCAGGCAACTCTGTAAAACCCTGACTACAGCTGAGTTATGGATCTGGAATAGTGAACAAAGTTTTCACACATTGGGAGTTCCCCACTCACTGATTAAATGAATTTGGATCAGAATAAAAAGGATTTATACAAAACTATGGACAGTGTGAAGAGGTCACAGAATAATAGAATTTGAGAGTTTGAATGGATCTGAGTAGCCATTTAGCCCACCCTATTCATTAAAGAAGCTCACCTGTAACATAGCCAGCAAGTGGGCAGCCAGTTTCTGACTGAAAACTTCAAAGGAGGAAGAACTGACCACTTCCTGAGACAGCCCATCCTAATTATCAGGAATTTTTTCATCCATTCCCCTTATTTCTGCCTTCTTGGAACAAACAGAAAAAATCTAGTCCCTCTTCCATATGATAATATTCAAATACTAAAGACAGCCAGCACATCACCTTCCCCCTACCCCCACCCCAGAGTCTTCTCTTCTCTAGGCTAAACATGTCTAGTTCTCTCATCCAAGACTCATATAACATGGACTCAAGGCCTGCCACCATCCTGGCTGTCCTCTTCTGGACACTTATCAACATAATTCTTAAAGAATGGTACCTAAAACTAAACACATGTTAAATGTTCGCAATCTGCACTGGTATGAAAAGTAACCATGCCACTGAGATTCAACTATCCATTGAAGTATGCTTATAATCTTGGACAAGTTACTTCACCTCTCTCGGACTTGATTTCCTCTTCAGTAAACTAAGAAGATTGGACTAGATAATGTTCAAGATCCCTTTCAGCTTTAGAACTCTAAAATTCTTGAGTTAAGGGCCATCTCTAGAAATCATCTGCTACAGGTGTGATCCTATGGCCACAGAAGAATTAAAAACAATTCTGAGGACTCCAGCTGTTTTGTTAACCAGCACTGCTCCAATTACAGAAACACATGCAGCCTGTATTTAAATGTTCTCAAAGGGACACAGATACCAACACCTCAGCACCGAGTTGGAAAGGAAATGAAAAGATGAAGGAAGGCCCTTTCAGAACTTTTAGATCACTTCAGTCTTGGAAATACATAACCTGATTTGTTTCTGTAGGGAAACTGTACTTATAAAACAGATGTACATGTTTGTATTACCAATGCAGAGTGGGGCTGGGAAGACTTAAGGGGAGTTTCCTCTTTCTTTCTCCTCCTTGTTTTAGTCAGGGCCCATATGCCTCTCTACTGTGCTCACTATTTCCAGTGACATCAAATGGAAGACTTCATTTCAGAGCAAAGGCAGAGTGTGGCACTCTGTGTCATACATATAAACTTTTTGCAAAGATTATATAGGGATCCTGGTAATCAGTCCTGGCAGATCTGGGCCTAAGAAATAACAAAATGTTTAGAACTAAAATTTAATAAAAAGAATGTCAAAATCAATCTGCAGAAACAAAGGCTATGTAGGTTTTAAAATAGGAAGTCTGACTATATTTGCTGATTGCCTCCTTCCTTCAGCAAACTGGATTTAATTGGAGGTGAGGGTCAGCTCTTGTCAGAGTCACAGACTGCAATGAATTCTTCACTTAAAGTTAATAAACTGTTATTTTGATTGCACTGGACCAAAAACTATTTTAACAAAACTTCTGACTATTGGAACTGTTGAGGCATAGCCCTCATATGCCTAACAGCAGCCCTCTTTGTCATTACACTGCTAGGAGCAAACACTGTACTTCTGTATCTATTTCCAGCCCCCATAAATCACACTCTATTGTTACCAGGGAACTAGGAACTCATACTTAATAAGGCATCAATTTCTTTTCCCCATTTTGTTTAAAAGGGTAGGGTACTGTAGGGAAGTAAAGAAATTCTAAATTTCATCTAAAGTAAAAACAAATTATTACACAGAAAATGGGTTTTTAAAAAAAAAAGTTCCAGGTAAACAATGTCCATACAGGGTTAACTCTTGGACTAAAGCATTTAATTACAATCTTAGACTCAGGGACAGAGTCTGACCTAAGCACATGATATGACTTTAGCCTTCATGATGTTTGACAACAAGAGTGCTACAACAGCAAGATTCAAATGGTAAAGTTAGAGCCTTAGTGCCCAGTTTCATTTTTCCCAATTCCAAAGGACTTTGAAATTTAACATTTAACATTAATAGATTGAGTATAGTGCAATCTATATCCTCTACAAAATCTAACACACAGCATCACTGTTCATAACTAGGTTTTATTTGAACACAGCTTCTTTAATGGTGCTGACACAAAACTCTTTGCCTTGAATGGAGAGACTTGCTATATTCTTCTAGGTACAACTTTTGCCAGAATGGCTATTCCCAATGTCCAATGATTGATCACTGAGTCTTAGAGCGTGGTGATCATCTAGCACAACTTCCTCATTTTGCAGATGAAGCCACTGAAGCCAGGATAATAGATCAGATAGATTCACAGTACAAAGTCTGTCAAACATAGGATTGACTATCGAGTGCTATAGGTCATAGGATACTAATACACAAGACATCTGACCAGGGCACAGAATAATTGTGGTGGCTAAAAAGCTATAATGTAATAAAAAATACATTACACAAAGTAATATGACCCTGGAAATATGAATCTCTTGGAAATCTTAAATAAAGATCTTGCAAACCAGAAAACCCAGATTATAATCTGTTGTTCTGTTACATGCTAAATGCACAAGATTGTTTAAGCCAAATTGATTATATAACTCAACTCCCTTATACAGCTAGATGTTTCCTAGGACACTGATGCTACAATTTGCTTGAGGTTTGCAAACCATTCCTGGTCTCAGACAGACCAAACATATTAGGAAACTGCAGGTACCTGCCTACCAGAGTTTTAAGAACAGTTTGTAGAACGATTTCCAGTCTGTCTCCAAGTGGAAGTGTCATGAATCTCAAGAGAATCTCTTATGGCCCTTTTGATGGGATACAGTATGACCACAGGAAGAATAACAAGGGGAAAAACTATATCATGCTGAGGGCTCAGCCACTCCCTAAGCTTCCCTCAATGATGGTTCTATATTATTTCCCAGACTAGACTGGTACACACACACACACACACACACACACACACACACACACTCCACTTTCCAATGCTTCAAGGTTGGAAAGCAAGGCATTAGAGTTATATAAAGGGCCAGGAATAGAGAGTGTTCACAATGAGCTGAATGTGTTGATCTGTTGCCAGTGAAGAGGCAGTCATACTTTACCATCCAGTTTCCCAAAAACAAGGTACTAAGAAGAAAAATTCATGCAGATACTAGTGATAGGGAGCAAGAGCTTATGAGATTTTATAGGATATAATGTGTGTAAAGTCCTTTACAAACACTAAGCTGAACACAATATAAATGTCAATTATCATTATTATTATTAATGTGTAGCCATGTCATGCAGAATACCTAAGGAAGTTATTTCTAGTGTGGCAAGAGCCCACCTTAATGGTACCCTTACAAAGAAAGCACCATTATCCTCCCCTTCTTTCGCCTGCCCCTCTACTGATTCCAGTCTCCAAGGACAAGGTAGTTTGACTCCAGGAGAGGCTACATTATAAATTTAAGAAACTAAACAGAATAAAAAAGCCCTGAAAGTAGAACTTTATGCAGATATATTGTATAAATAATTTGCTAAACTCGTTATGGGGTACAGGAAAAATGTGTGAGGAGTGGGTAAGAGAATTCAGCTGGGTCTCAGGCATTCCTAAATGGGGCAATGCCCTCAGTCTGGTCACAGACTTACTTGGAAGATAACTAACAGGTCTCTCACCCTTCCATCTAGTCATCCCAGGCACGAGCTCATCCTTCTCTTAGAGCCATCCAAGAGAAAATCTACTCCCTGGAAAGCCATTTTCACAATCCTAGCAATCAGGAAATTATTTTACCTCTTAACAAATTCTATCTGTATCTTGGGTGCCTACAGGTGTGACTACTCTCTGGTGCAGGACGCTGGAATGCTCCCAGCGACTAAAAGGAGAGAGCTCCCACGTCCTTTTGTACTTGACTGAACAGAAAAAGTACCTGCAGCAGCCTCTGTTTCATCCCTCTCCTCCCAACAGTGAACTTGGAACACAGAACCTGCATTCAAATAGTTATTCCACCTTAGTACCTGGCCCATTTATGCAGCTTTTACACGTCTGTACCTATCTTTGCCGAAAATTTTCGTCGTCAATTGGGAGTTTGCGCGCTTTCCAATTTCTGCCTTACTCCAGGCAACCAACAAAACATCTGGAATCCCTCCTAAGCAGATGTGCCTGGTATCCCTAGCCAAGAAGACTCCCAATCTCAGCGGACTTGGCATCCAGGCTGGTACGCCAACTCCTCCCAATCCCCAGCATCCACACACCACCACTGCTGACTCTTAACCGCCCCCCCAAACCCCACTCTATTTCGCGGCCCCGCCCACCCCCTTTTACCGCTGGTATCCTCGAAGCGAGGGGGAGGGGTGTCTCGCAAAGTCTGGGTCCAGCCTCCACGCTCTTCCTCATCCTCCTCATCCATGGGCCCGGGAAGCTGATGCTGATGCTGTCGCAGTTGCCGCTGCCCACCAGTCGCAGCTCCTGCCCTTTGGACGCGGTGCCCTCCTCCTCCCTGAAAACAGCAGACGCCTCCCCCGCGGGCGGGCCCCTCGGTTGCTGTCTCTACCTCCCGGGCCAGGGGCTGCGGCGGCGGAGGCGGCGGGGCGGCGGCAGAGGAGGAGGAGATGGAGGAAGTGGTGGGTTCGTCTTCGTCCTCGGAAGAGGCGGCGGAGGAGGAGCGCGAGTCGGCCGAGGTACTGTAGAAGGGGTTCCCGCTGCTGTCCTGGCCCGACTCGCCGAACACGTCGTCCGAGATCTGCAGGCTCTCGTAGCGGGAGCGGGCCGCTTCCAGCAGGGAGAGCGCCTTCTTCCTCGGTCCCCCAACGCCGCCGCCGCCGCCGCCACCCCCGCCGCCGCCGCCGCCGCACTCCGCCATCATCTTCGCTGCACCCCACTCTCTCCCCTGCCCTCCCGCCCCCCACAACACCTCCCAACCACAGACCCCCCCTCCTCTCCCGGCGCCCCGGGCTGTCTCTCCCCACCAGTTCAATCCACAGCAAAGCGCCCTCCCCTTCCCCACCCTCGGCCGGTCCGCCGTCTTTGCCCGGCTTTGGCCCAGCTCCAGGTTAAAAAAAAATTTTTTTTAAAGGCACGGGCAGCGACGGGCCGGGGCAGCTGAAATGGCAAGCTCTGTTCAGGGGTCAGTGAACCACTCAGGAAACGAAGAGAGACAGGTGCTGCAGCTGCTACCCTGCAGCAGCCGCTTCAAGGGCTGTTGTTGCTGTTACTGTTTCTCCTCCTCCGGGGAGCTCTTCCTGACTCCTTCCCTGCTTGTCAGCCTTCCTGCCCGCTTGCTGGCTTGCTTGCTTGCTTGCTTGTCTGCTGCTTCCCCTCCAAGGTGCACCCCCTCCCCTCTGTTCCTCTCTCCACTGCCAACCCTACGGACTCCCTCCTTGTGTGTGCAGCCGAGAGGGCGGATTCCGCCTCGCACCTCCAAATCCCCCGTTTGGCCAATGGGAATTGCTTACCCAGAAGGAGAGGGGAGGGATTGGGAGGGCCCAGGAGCAGAAGACACCTCCTCCATCTCCTTCTCGGCCTAAGAGGCGGGGCAAATGAAGTCAAGGCTTGTCAGGAAGGAGGTCTGGCGGCTATAGGGCCCTTTCCCCTCTCCACAAAGGCAGGCTCAGACATCCATCAAGGGACCTGGTCAGAGAGGGTGCGTGCGTGTGTGTGTGTGTGTGTGTGTGTGTGTGTGTGTGTGTGTGTGTGTGGTGTGTGTGTGTGTGTGTGTCTGTGTGAAAAGGCGTTGGGGAATATAGATTGGTTTGTTCCTGATAGCCTGACCCAACTGGGAGGAAAGAGATGGCCTTCAACCTTCTTCCTAAATCAGTGCCTGGGCACCAGGGAACTGTCCACTTTTGGTGGTTCTGAATCAGAGCACGCAAGGAAAACCTTAAACCGCCGCACAGGCAGCCTTGGGAAAAAATAGTGGGGTGCTGGTGGCTGCAGCAGCTGCAAGAAAGTTAGAACTGATTGCTATTGGTACTATTTTCTGTGGCAGTATTGAACGTAGATTGAAACCGTATGCTTCTATAAATAAAAGGATGGTCTGGCTCATTAAAATAATTAAAAGTAGGAGTTAGTTTTGACAAACCATTTCTATGGGTCAGATGCCAGCTTAATCCCCATAATTTAAGGATGGTTGCAAGACGAGTAGAGTACAACTATTTTTTCATCATCTCCCGCAGCTGACACATATTTGGAACTAAAAATATAGATTCTCCCCTCACACATACTTGTCTATTAATGTACCAGATAATAAAGAAAAGAAAAGGAAAATACATATCACATAACATCCAGACTATAGCGAACAGATTAAACAACAGCAAAAAAAAAAAAAGAAAAAAAAATTCGCCATCCTGTCCTGCATCGTATGAACAGGACAGTCATCTTGCTGATGACAAGCTGTTTGATTCTTTGCCCCCAACAATAAATGTTTCAATCAGCCACATTAATGATTATTCCGGTTGGGAAGTCACTTTCACTTTTCAATAAAATAAAACTTCCACAAAGAAACCCTGCTGAGTTTAAAATATGATATCCAAAAGGAAAAGGCATGTTGCTACCTGGAGATGTGAAGAAAGAATAGAGGTTTGCTGGCATTACTGTCAACAAGTAATATTTCTCTTACTGATGTTCACCTTCCTCTCATATCACCCTTTCCCCTAACAGCCTACTTCTCTCCCCCAATATTCCTCAAGCTATAATGACCTGGAAAGGTCTTCATTATAAAAATTTAAAAAGAAATTATATGTCGTATAATATTACTTGCTATATGGATTTGGTCATAAATGAAATGATGTCTTAGAGTTCCTTGGAAGAAGTATACTGGAAAATAGGCTTTGTCTGTAGCACAGAGTAAGAACCATATAAAAACAAATAGTAAGCTGTGTACCAGAATAGGAATTCCCATTATGTATATTGTATAAATCTACCCTATATCAAGACTTTACTGTAGCCATTGGATTAACTGAGTCTCTGCCTAAAACCATGACAATTAGTTCATACATTTTGAAGAGGGCACTAGTCTGCAGGAAAATGAATGTTATAAAGGATAACTTTGAACTCTGTGCTTGGAGGAACATTGTATAACCAAAAACACAGTGACTCAAAACTAGGTCCTCACTACATGGACAAACATGATTAAGGATTATATGAGTCTCTGGGAAGGTTTTTATGCTCAATCCAAAATAACTGTATAGAGATTAAGATACTGGAGTCTTTAGGAAATAATCCAGTATTCTCAAAGGCAGCATGTTGTGAAAAATAAGCAGATAAGGCATGTGTTTTAAAATAATTGTTTCCACTGTTAACCACAGAATGCCCAATACAAACAAAAATGTTTATATTAGTGGGTGTATTAGTTTATGGTTATTAGTATGCATTCATGTTTGGTCAATCCCTGGACAAACTGAATACTCTTCTGGTCTCTTGGCATATGCCTGTAGCTCACAGAACATTTAAAGAGAGGATTAAAAGGTAACAAAAGAAATAGGCAGTAAAATCTTATTTGCTTCTGGAGGACTCTTAAACCAGAATAAGATTACCTAGAATATCTTGGCTAAGAATGAAGCATTTGAATGATAACTGGTCTTAGAAGGAACACACAGCCCTATAGATTGGTTCAACATAATATAAACATATCTTGACCTTTCAAGAGAGAGTTTCTCCCTTCAGGTGAGATGGGAATGGGAAAAAGAGGAATGTTTCTCCCTTTAAAAATATTCCCCATTTCCCCAAGATTCTCCTACCTAATCCTACACTTTTTAATGCTGTTTTAATATTTATAAATGTTAATAATTCCTTTGATGATTATAGAATAATATCACAATGCAATCTATCAACTTTTATCCTTTTAGAAATAAGGCTCATATAATCATATATTTACTTAATTCTCTTGGAAATCATGATAGAATAACATTTAGTTTCTTCAGTAGCACATTTCTATACAAAGACCTCAATAGAATAAGGCCAATTGATTTCTGCTGTAGACTAGCTGTTTTCATCAAACCAGGGCTTTATTATTTTACATAATTGTTTTATTATTTCTTCATACTAGTAATTCCTAAGTCCTCATTTTTCAAACACTATCATGCTGTGGGATTCAGAACTAAGCAAAGCTTTAAGGCTGGGGGTGGGGTGAGGGCAGCTCTAGCCAGTCCCAGACTTAATGGTCAGGATAAAGGTATGAGCCATGTTTGCTTGTTACTAGGACGTTGTGAGAAAGGCAGGAAATTGGTGGAAGAGGGCAGGGTGTAAGTGGTGGTTCCTTAGCAAGTACTCTTGCTTCCCATGGTTCCCCTGACACCTCATTGGAGGTGGAAGCAATCAAAGAAGATGTTTGAGGATGGGTGGGTAGGAATGGTTGGAGTAGGAGAAATATATGTGTGTAATAAATGAAGCTTGTATTACATCTCGAGACCCATATCCAGGACCTGCACTAAGCCAGTAGCTATCATTTAGTCCTTTCTTCAGAACAGAAGCCTGCCCACGTTATATAAATCACTAGGGACAATATAACATTTCTCTCCCCTCTCTCCTCCCCCTATCTGAAGTTTGCCCTAGCAACTTATTAAACTATGTTCTAAGTCATGAAGTGATTGTGATCTGTATTGATGGAAGCAATAAACAAGGATGAAATCTCCCATCTTTGAAATACTGAAGTGAAGTCAGACATAGGTAAAATGGGAAAAAAGAAAAAAAAGAAAAGAAAATAATATGTCAAAACAAGATGGCTAAAGCTTGGGTACAAGGTTGGCTTATGTTAACAATTATGTTAGAACCCTGTATGGTCTCATGTGTGATTCCATTTCTTTTCCCTCCTTTTTTTCTTCAACAATAGATCCTAGGAGTCATTCTTTAATTGAGAGTCAAGGATTAGGTAGTGTTAAATTTTTGTGGACCACAAAAATAAACCTGTTGGTACACCATGCTAGAAGTATACAGAATGAGTAAAGATTGATGTGTATTTTCCATCACTAAAAGTTTAAGGTATGGTGTAGTAGAACAAACTGACTCTAGAGTCAGAGAACCTTCCTTCGAATCCTAACTACTACTAATTCTGTGTGTTTCTGGGCAATTTTCTCAGGATCTTATGTAATCTCTTCGCTAAGTCTCTCTGTTTCTTTTTCACTTTTCTTCATTTCCTCATCTGTAAAAATAAGGGTGTTAGATTAGACAATTTATAAGGTCCCTTCCCACTCGAAGTTTAGGTTCATAAAGGTTGCAAGAAAGCCATTAGAAATGAGTTAACCTCTCCTTGGTACCTACACTTTGGCAAGCCACCACCAGGTAGACAGTGCTTTTATTCAGTAAGTAGGCATTCTTCAGATGGGGAGAACTGGGAAGCAGGAATAAAGCACTAAACTATCTACTTATTTGTTGTTTTCAAATATATATGTATATGTGTATGTATATTTGTTAAGAAAATAGCACATATGTCATAACTCACTTATTGTTTCTACTAGAAACACATTTATATAACATCTTAAGGTTTATGAAGTGCTTTCCTTGCAACAAACCTATGAAGTAGAGAGTGCAAATGTTATAACCCCCAATTCTATAGCTAGATGCAGCATGGCATAGTGGATCTGGCTTAAAACTTGGTCTCATGTCCAGCCTCTGGTACATACTGGCTGAGTGACCCTGGGCAAGTCACTTCATCTCAGAGTGATCTAGGCATCTCTCCAATACTAGACGGTGCTGACTTGCATTGGTAGAGGGAGTTTTCTTATTTAGGCATTTACTGTGTCAGTGACATCCCTGGTCCAGGCCCCATTCCCTATCTTTCTATAAATAAAGAAGTTGAGATTCAGAAACACTAAAGGATTTGCCCAAGGTCACCACTACTGATCACAATTATGAGCCAGTATTTGAATT